TGCTTCTCAAATCATTGAATATAAGCACCTAAATGTTTTAAAACCATCAGGTTATGAATTATGTAAGACCTTCCAGTATACCTATGATGTCATTGCCCCGGTAACATTATTAGCTTTTTTGCTACATCTCTTTATCTTACTTTTTAACAGCTTACTTATGATTTTTTATTTATTTACATGTGTTTCTTCGCCTAGTGCCTTCTGATAGGAGTTGGGGACTGCTGGATCATAGAAAAAAACATCAACATTTGTGATCTTACTGTCTTAAATGATTTATATGATTATGTTGTATAAATAGTCCACATGCTATCACACACAAAATCCTTGCTCAAACAGTTTTGTTTTCCTTAAGTCACTTAAGACTAAGAGAAGCTGTTTTTTTAAAGGACCCACTTGGTTTTCACGGTTACATAATATGACTTTCCCAAAGCAGGGCAAACGGGCAGCTGGGATGGTTTCAGTGAAATAATACACGCCTTTTGGTTTCCACTATAGGTGCATCCCTGCTATCACCATGTCTTCTCGGCTTACTGCTGCCTGCCCTTGGCATCCTTGTCTACTTGGAATTCTGAATGTGGTGTGACGGCTGCTGTCCCTAACCCAGCTCAGAGGACACCCTTCATCCCTGTGATGGCTACAGTTCCTTCCAATCCCTGCGGCTCCGTCCTAAGCCAAATAAATTACACTTTAACAAACCATCCGACTGATTCACAACATACGTTATGACTGAGGCATTCGGGAACCCCTTCATCCAAAAGAATAAACTTTTAAATGGATATAAAATGATTTTTAACTCGTTCCAATATGCCTTATAAACCACTTAACCTGATTCTGTGACCGTTGCATGATTTAATCCAATGGGACAAGTTCCAGTGTTCAATCCAATACCATAGGCCGTAGAGTGAAAATGAAATCACCATATACAGGTGCTTTAAATCCAATAACAAGTTGTGAAGTATAATAGAGGTTGAAATGTTGATCATATGTGGTAAATGTACTGTCCTCTCTGTTCTGGGTCCTGCGTATTTTTGAATGACCCCTATCATTCATGACGTTTTGAGTTTTCTTGGGGAAAACAAAATAAGAGTATAACTGAAGCATTTGACATAAATTCCAACACGAAATCATTTTACTGAATGAGTTGAAACATTTTGAGTACTGAAAGCCAAATTCTAGAACTTATCAGTGTTCTAATTTTGGAAGTGAGTAATTTTCTAAATTGAATATTCTACATACCTGATTTTCAGAATCAGTAATACTTTTAAGTTAGTTTTTTAAAAGTAAAATTAACATAGTATATGAAGTTTTTTTTTACTTTTGTATTCTACTCTGATGTTATTTTATGCTTTTCTTATCATCAACCTCAAAAATCACAGCTCTTGTAGAGTATCATCATATTGCTGTATTTATTCGTACGTGAAATGATGAATTTTGAAAAGTAGAGTGCTTCCATTTTTTAATTGAGATGTGACAGTCTTTACACAGCTAGGAATGACAGTTAAGTGACTCTCAGAATTATCTAATATTCTAGTGTCTTTGTTTTTTGTGCTTCATTTTTAAGTAAAACCTTTCTTGATTAAAGGTATGGAATCAAGAAATCAACTGTAGGTTGGAAAAACTACAGTATTCCTTATTTTTTTAAATTTAGTTTTAAACTCATTTCCCACTTCAATGCAATACCGAAAACTGGCTAAAAATACCAAATCAATATGTTGCTAAGGGTACTTTGAAGAGGATGCAAAACTGGAAGGCCGGGAGGAGACAAATAATGTGTCTGTCCATTGGTGTCTCCCACGTGTTGGTGCTTTAGGTTTTTATAAGTCGTGAAAAGGAAGATGCACATTTCTTCATTCTCCATGGTGTGCACGGAAATGTGAGTGTGGATGTGAAAGAAATCGAGTAATAAAGGGTTAGCTGGCTTATGAAATAGTGCAATGTCGGATGCTTCAAGAGGTATAATCCTATTTTATTAGCACAACCTTGCTAGCTAATTAGAGATAGAGTTTATCTTTTTAGAAAGGAGACCTTATAGGTTCATAAAAAAATATTTACAGGAAGCAAAATAGATCTATTACTATTTTACCCCCCTTTCTTTAATTTGTATAATTTTTGTACAATATATCTATGTGTAAATGTTTAGAGCTTTCATTATGGAAATACCAATAAATATTTCATTGGTTTACGTTTAACTCTTTGTTATAAAATGAAACTTTTTAAAAATAAGTGAAAGGAATGACTCCCCAGTGAAAGTATGTCAACAGTCTTAAGAGCATTAGATTTCATAAGTAGTTAATTATTTGAAAAAAAAAAAAAGAAACAAAATCTCTTCATACTTGAGGGAAACGAATACTCCATAAGCCTTCTGTACAAATGTTTGTGTTTTCATTGTTACACTTTGGGGTTTTCCTTTTGCAATGTGACCCACGTTGGGCGTTTTTATATAATCAACAAACAACTAAATCTTTTGCCAAATGCATGCTTGCCTTTTTTTTTCTAATGTACGGTAATACAGAGCAAAACTGGTTAGAGTCTGCATGAAATGGTTTTGAAAGGTAAGGGGGAAAAAAACAGACTTCGGCGGTTGTTTGTTTCATTTTAAATTTGTGACAGAGATAAGGTAGAATAAAAGCTCTCAGACCTTGGTAACTCAAGCTTTTCATTTCCTCATACAATTGTACAAATTTGACTGGGACCATCAGTTTTAAACTGTTGTCAAACTAACTAATGTATCATCCGCTTTAAGACGCAAGATTCTTAATTAAACTTTATATAGATATAGACACATCTGTTGTTTCTTTGTATTTCAGGAAAGGTGATAGTAGTTTTCTTTGATACTGATAAATATTGAATTGATTTTTTTAGTTATTTTTTATCATTTTTTCAATGGAGTAGCATAGGACTGTGCTTTGTCCTTTTTATGAATGAAAACAAATTATAAAGAAATAAATGTCTTACTGTTACCCAAGAAGTAACAACTGTCCTTTCAATTTACCTAAGGTTGAAAACTCATTTTTAGAGGGTTTTCATTGAAAGTGTAATAAAATGCAATAAATATTACATGTTAAAAAACGGTTCAATGTTTGAAGGGTTCTACAAAAAGTATATGCACGAACACAAAGACACACACACAAACACAGAAGCATTATTATAACGAAATAAGATCCTCTGGGAGATGACTTCAACTTAGGGAGATGTTAGTGGATATCACTCAGTCTAATGCTAAACACTAAAGCAAGCTGCTAGATGCTAAAAAAAATAAGAGACTAATTGAATCCTGAATGAGGTGATACTCTTAACGGAGGAATTTGCCTTGAAGCCTGACTCTACAGACAGGAATCTGATGCAGGTAAAGCCTTCACCGTGTCCTGAGTTTGACTGAACCTCAAATTCTGAATCCCAGGACTTCTGTGTTCTGCTTTCCAATCCTCGCCTGCGCTCACTGTGACTTCTCATTGGCATTCTGACCTCCCTTCCTGTTTCATGAAGCTTGCTTCCACCCTAAATTGTACTTTCCCCTTTGGACCCTGCCTCTGCTTCTTGACCCTAAGTATTATATTACTTCCATTCTAATATTTTGCTTTTGGTATTTGACCTTGGATTGACCTCAGCTCTAATTCCCCAGGCTTTGGGAGATCAAAGCTTCTTTCTGTGCGAGCATTTTCCATATTAGCTGTTCTCCAACTTGGTTGTCCATCAGGATGACCTGGAGAATTTGGGAAAAAATCAAATAGATTTCCTAGGCACCAGTTCAGGCTTACCAAATCAATCTGGACAGTGAGACATAGCAATCTATTTTTTTAGGTAGATTAACTGATATTTTTGGCTGAATCAACAATAATAAATATCGTGTAGACATTAAATATCTCTTAAGGAAAAAAATCCATTCTCTTGGCTTGTCTAAAATGCTAATTTGCTTGTGACTAACTTGCTCAGTTATTACCCATGGGCTGTTCATCTTAAGTCTCAAAATGCTATACACTCTTTGTCTCCTAAAAACATCCCCTAATTTGTACCTCAAGTCCAAGCAGCAGACTGAGATGCACTTTAGAAGATTTCTTCTGTATAGGAATGTGGATTTTCCTTATTTTTTTCTTTCATGTAACTTGAAAAGTTAATTAAATTTTAATACCTAACTTCCTGAGTCTTTAATCTTCTGGAGATTGCTAATAAAAAGATTGATGAAAGGTGGCCCCCTCCTCCCCAACTTGAACATTTTTTTTTTCCACAATGGTAACATGGTGATTTTGAATGAGTTTATTTTAAAAGTGGTTGATGGGGAGGCCAAAGTTAGATCTCTACATTGTTTATCATATTTTAAAAACAGGTTTCACCTTTTAGGTAGCAGTCATACATTTGACACCTGGGGAAATACATATCAGTATTCATGAGGCTGTTACTACTTGGCTCTAGAATTCAATCAAACCCATCCTAAGGCAAAACTGTAAAGTGAAGGAACTCAGTCTTCATGCATCCTGTTTCCTCAGTTAGGCTCTTTTCTTGGGTGGAAGCTGCCTTAAAGGCAATGCCCTGTACCTTCATACCTTCCTGTATTAGTTTCCAAGGGCCGCTACAACAAATGACCACAGACTAAGTGAGTTCAAGCAGAAATCTTGCTCTGCCAGTTCTGGAAGCTGCAAGTCCAAAATCAAGGTGTCAGCAAAGTCAGATCCACATGGAGCCTCTGAGGGCGAGTCTGTTCCATGCCTCTTTTGTAGCTTCTTACGGTTGCAGGCAATTCTTGGCGTTTCTTGGTTTGCAGCTGCCTGTCTCCAGTCTCTGCTTCTGTGGCCATGTGACATTCTCTCCCTTCGTGTCCTTGTGTCCAAATTTCTCTCTTCTCCTAAGAAGACTAGTCATTGGATTAGGTCCCAGCCTAATCCAGAATGACATCATCTTCACTTGATTATTTCTGCAAAGACCCTATTTCCAAATAAGATCATATTCCTAAATTCCAGTTGGATGGAAATCTTGGTAGAATACTATTCAACCCAGTATGTGTCCCTTTTCCTCTTTTCTAAAACCTGTAGATGCTCCACTCACACCAAAGAGGACATGATTGAGAAGCTGCTTGAAGCATGCCTTCATAAAGCATTTATGCTGGTAACATCCAACAGGATGGATGAATTTCAACTGCTAAGTGAAAAGAAGCCGGATTCAAAAGGCTGTGTGATTCCACTTATACGACATTCTGAAGAAAAGGCAAAACTTTAGGGACAGAGAACAAATCAGTAGTTGCCAAGTGCTAAGAGTAGGGGGAGTGTCTGACTACAAAGGAACAGTGTGAGGGAGCCCTTGAGGGTGCCGAAACTGGTGGCAGTGACTCAGATCTGTGCACTGGCCAAAACTCATAAAACTGCACAGCAAAAGGATGAGTTTCATTGCGAATACATTTTTTAAACTTTTAAAATGCAATTATGCAAAGATCATGGGCATTGGACAGAACTGTGACCATGTTCCACTGGATATTACCTCGTAAGACACCTCATGAGATCTTGGACAAGTCATGTGACATTTGGAGGCTAGTTTCCTTTTCCTCGAAACAAGGATAACACTTTAAATCATTTAGAACTCTTTCAGTTGCAGCTTAAAACTCAAATAAGCTTAAAAAAAAAGAATTTATTGGCTCCAAAAGTGGGATCGATGAGATAGACTGGATACATGGGCTTAAATAATGTTCTCAGAGGACTGTCTCTCCATCCATTGACTCTGCTTCTCTCTGTGCACATGAGTTGTTCTTAGGCAGACCCTCTCCTTGTGGCAGGAACCACAGGTGCTGATGGTTCCAAGCTTCCGTTCTGCTGGCAGGTGGCCCAGAAGTAACAGAGACTTTTTTCCTGACCTAATGTAGATCCCAAATCTCATAAAAAGACTCATATTATCCTCAGGAGGTGAGTGTATTTTATTTAGCCGTCTTGGGCCTCCTGGCTACTCATCTGGTTAATTGGAAGGTGGCAAGAGCGTCGTAAGAGACATTCCACCAGGACCACATGGGGTGGAGAAGGGATGATTTCCCCTAAAAGAAATATTAGGTGCTATTAACAGGGGGAGGGTATCGGACTGGCAAAAACATTCTCCACTCCACTTACTCTTCCTAAAATTCTATGATTAAAAAAACAATAGCGTTAAAATACTTGGCATATAGTAAATTCCTAACAAATTTTAAATTTCCCCTCCTACTGTTACTTTCTACCAGATATTTGCAAGTTCACATATGGGGCTTCTAAAATTCTTAATTCAGGTCATTTCATAGCTATCTGTTTATTTCCAGCACAGAGCTTAGCATTCACAGTCAACTTAAAGTCACTTCACCATGTGGAGGGAAATAGCTCAGTGGGAAAATGCATGCTTAGTATACATGAGGTCCTGGGTTCAATCCCCAGTACCTCTGTTAAAATAGAAAAAAAAAAGTCAACTCATCCTTGGTCAGGTAGAGCTGATTTTAGTTGAACTGAATGCAATATCAGAATGTGAAAGAATAGGGAAAAGGGTCTGGTTGGCCCTGAAATCTTCCTTTTATTGCATTTTACAAGTATAGCATTTCCACCGATGAGGGGTGAGAGAAAGACATTGTCAAGCAATCTTGTCTACATTTTATTCATTGTTTCTGGGAAGGAATGATGTGTATATCCAGACATAGTACAAGTGTCCAAGGGACTTCAGAACTTTATTGGAAAATCTTATCCACATGCACAATTGTGTCAATTAATCAACGGGAAGAGGCAGGCCATACTAAAGTGTTGAAAACACACACTGTTTTAAGTGAACTATACTAGTTATTTATCGCCACAATGATGTGGCAGAAACACAACCGCAAAGCCTCAGTGGCATATAACAATAAACTTTAATTGCTCACACATCAGGGTCAGCAGTGAATCAGAAATGTGGCTTTGCTCATGTGAACTGGGCTTTCTCGCATGCTTGAGAGCAGGCTGACGGTCAGCTGTTAGAGGCTGCCTTTAGTGGGGCCCTTGGGGCAACGTGGATCTACTCAGTTTTTCTTATCCTTCTCCGGTGGAATCGTTCTGGCATGTTCCCATGACAACGGCAGGCGTGCAGAGAAGCAAGTAGAAACATGCATGTACCCTTTCAAGCATTTGTTTCATGTCTGCTAATATTCTATTAACCAAATAAAGTCACATTATGAAACCCTGAGCCAAGGGGCAAGGTAGGTCACCCACATAGGTGGGTGGGCACCTTAAAGTTAAGCAAAGGGTGTGGCCATATGGAGTCTTGAAGAATTGGAGTCAAACAAGGCATCTACCAGAGATACTTACCAAATCCCATTGGATCTAGAAAGCCATTAGGTTTACCATTAAGAAAGAAAAAATACTCCTAACTAAACTAACACAAAATTTGTTTATCATGTAGAATGTTGCTTTATATTCATGGGAAGAGCTATTTATTTGCAAAGACTTTTATGATTTGTGATCCTTATGCACAGACAAAAAGGAAACTATGTACAGTCTAAAAATTTTCCACATTCAAACTGTGACTCTTCTAAATCAATCTTAAACTCTGAGTAATTGATATCTGTATTTTTTCCACAAAATACCACCCTTTGGTGATATTGGTTTATGCATCATTTCTTAGCAAATGCTCCAGTATTTATTCCAAACTACTGGTACTCATTCTACCAATACTTTCTCAGTCTCACCAGGCACTAGTAGACTGTTATTATAGCCATTTAAAAAATATGTCCACAAATTCTTTTATAGTTATCGCTTTAAGAGGTGAAACTAATTCTCCTCCCCTGGAAGTTGTGCTGGGTTTAGGGACTCATTTCTAGTGAATAGAATAAAGCAGAAGTGACTGTGTGGTACTTAGGAAACTAGGTCATAAAAGGCCAATGTTGTTTCCATCTTGCTCTTTCTTTCTTTCTTTCTCTTTCTCTCTCAGACCAATTGTTCTGGGAGATGCTAACTGCCATGCTGTAGAATTATTCAGGCAGCCCTGTGGAGACACCCACAAAGTGAGAAGCTGAGGCCCCCTGCCAACAGCCATGTGCGTAAGTCACCTTACAAGTGTATTCCCCCAGCCCCAGTCAAGCCTTCAGATGATTGCAACCCTGGCTAAAAGCTTAACTGCTGTCTTACAAAAGACCTTGAGCCAGAGCTCCCCAACCAAATTGCCCTCAGGTTTATGACCTTCAGAAACTGTGTGAGATAACAAATATTTGAAAGTTTCATGCCATTAAGTTTGGGGGGGGGTAATATGTTATACAGTAACATAGCATAAAATAAAGACTTGCTGACAAGAATTTTAAGCAAATGAAATTGTCTGGTCTGGCTAACAGGACTAAAAAATGTATTCCTATATGTCCAGATCCTCTATTTCCTCGAACTTCTGTACATAATAAATTTTTGGCCTTAATGATGAATCATAAGTCATTTAAAAAGCAATTAAACTCAACATGTGTTATCCCCCAAATACTTCTAACTCAGTAAAGAGCGATGACCGAAGTCACATATGTGCAGGCAGTGACAACTAAGGCATAGTTGTCTCCTGACCCACAGTAATTAAAAGATGCTGTAGATTGTAAGATGCATCCCATCTTCAGAGATATTAACATATTAAAAAACACTGGGTGTACTAGGAATGATAAACTATGGTATTTAACAGCTCTTATGAATACTTACACCTTCTGGACCAAATCTGGGTTAAAGGTGAGCATTATGTTTGGGTTAAGATGTTGAATTTTATTTGTTTATTTTAATGAGGAAGCAAGACATCAGCTTAGGTGGTTGGAATCCCAGTGGTGAGCTGAGATGAGCATGGCTGCCAAGAGCAATAGACTCTCTACATTTGCATCCACCGTAAAGTTGTTGTTCCTTGTCGCACCACCTCATCTCCCGATTTATTGGCCTGTTGTGTGGTGAGCAGAATGAGTTTGGACTCAGTAACATCTGAAGGGTAACTATTTACCACACATATCTCCCACAAAGAACTTATAAAACTTATCATGCTTGATCAACAAGAAAGAGAGCTGTTTGAAGAAGAAATGGTGATGGTGTGATGAGTCCTGTGACAGGGGGAATTCCAGATGCTCTCAGAGTAGAGTGGGCTTAGCAGTGCAGCCCAGGAATTAAGAAAAGCTTCTCAAGGGAATTATATTTAAGGCGCTACCTTGGGTCGGGGGGGAGGGTAGTATTATGGCAAGAACGTTGAGGTGAAGAACATGCCTGGCAAGGGAAGGTCAGTGAGTAGGGGACAAGTTGAGAGAGGCTAGGTGAGATTTAGAAGTTGAAAGGACAGGATGGCTGGAGTACAAGGATCAAGTTGGAGTGTTAGCTTAGTGGATCATGAGGGCCCCGTGAATGAAATTGTGCTTTCACTTTCCACCCTGGAGGGCAAATAAATGGTGAAATAATAAGGTCTGCCTTGGAGATCCAGTTCAGACTACAATGTAGAGAGTAGCTTGGAAAGGAACGGTGTTGTCATGAGGGGATCCAGTCAGAGAGGGATCAGCAGGAGTGATCCAGGTGAAAAAGGATGGGGTCCTGACGTCCTCTCGTGGTGGGAGAAAATAGAGAAAGTGGACAGACTTTAGAGAAGTCTAATAGGCCAAATTAAGGAACACATGGTTCGACTGGATATGGTAAGTAGAAGAAATAAAA